ATTGTCAAAAATTGACAAAAAATTAAATTTTCTATAATTTTAAATAGAGCATGCAGATTTGTTAACCTTATAAAAACTAACAAAGGAATGGTTTCCAAATTAAAATTAATGAATTTTTGGCTTAGTTATGAGGTTTTTAAGCTTTGATTTGTCGAAAAAATTGTCATATAAAAATTTAAAAAATGAGAATGTTTAACCGATAATTCAATTGCAAACTGCAAGAGCATATAAACTACGGTTTCCCAAAATAAGTTTATTGTTTCATTTTCTATATCGGAGATGCAGTTGTGGCCGTGCTTAGATATGAAATAATATGTGGGCCGGCCCCAAAACCCTTCTATGCGGATGAGTCATCGCCACACATAAATGTGGTCTAGGTCTTTTCATATTAGAAGCCTCCACGACTCGGATTTGTAATTAAATCAACTACGAGTGTGCCTCCGCGAGATTCCAACAAGTGCCAGCGGATGAGTCACAATCACAAGACGGCTTATGTTTCCTGGAATTCGTATGAGTTTTCTGCGTAAGCGGAGGAGACCCCCAGAATCCCCAGTTTCAGTCATGAAATACCTAACGGATACCTTTATGTAAATCGGACAAAAGTCTTTTGATTTTTGGATTTTTGAATGTGTTTCGGCGGAGGCTGGCAGGGAAATCTAGTTTATGTTTTGGGTCAACTGGAAACCAACCGACGAAACCAGTTTTAATTAAAAAGAAAAATTTATGAAACGAATGCGGTTGTGTTTTGCCTTGTTTTTGTCACTGGCCTGGGATGGTGAAAGTCTATTAGTTTTAGCCAGGTTTTATTTAATTGTTATATAAGCCCGCGAACAGCCATAAAAGCACATTTATTTCCATTAAAGATTTCGCAGAATCAATTGCGCCTGATGAAGCTAACTCTTCGCTGAATTCAGTCCACAGTTGGCCTCGTAAAAGCTAAATTGCCTCGAGTATTTTATTTTATTGGCCTTTTTTGTTGTATCTGTTGATTAGATTAAACCCTTTTTTGAAGTTCAAGTGTTATATGGGTCTATCATTATCAACAGGTCCAAACTAAAGTCTCTTAGCCCTCTGTTTCTCTTTGGGAATGGTTTGCTGAATGAATCTGAAAAGCTTTCGATTTTACTTTTGTGTTTTTTTTTATGAAAATAGTTTAAAGGATATGCATGACTTTATAAAACTATTTTAATATTGTTTATATAAATATACTGAAGATTGAAATTAGCACTTTGTTTTCCATTTCTGAAACGCCGATTTTATAAATTCGTTTAGCAACGCTTCCGTGAAGACTTACTACGATTTACCCAAGCCGCATTCTTATATTATATGCAATAAAAGGAGTGTTTTGTTTAACGTTCCGGCTTCTGGTTTATGGTGAACAATATTAAATATATTAATGCTGAATATACAATATGTGTGGTATACAAAAGGGGGGTTGGTCCGGAGATTTCCGGTTACCACAGGCACAGGATGAAAGTGTGGGTGCGGCAAGATAAACACAGAGCTGCAACATCTGCCGCCAAATGGCGCAACGCAATCTCTCGCGGAACTGAAACTGAAACTGTCAAGCCAGCAGCCAAATTGACGCCTTTATTCTTCGTTCTGCCCTCTTTGCAGTTTCACAACAAAGACCTAATCGGGAATGACGACGACGAACATGTCGCGGAGCCCGCGCCCGCTGAAAATAACCATCGTGGGCGACGGCATGGTGGGCAAGACGTGCATGCTGATAACCTACACCCAGAACGAGTTTCCCGAGGAGTATATACCCACAGTGTTCGACAATCATGCCTGCAACATATCCGTCGACGATCGCGAGTACAATCTGACCCTCTGGGACACTGCCGGGCAGGAGGACTATGAAAGACTGCGGCCTTTGAGCTATCCAAATGTGAGTACAATAGTTACCTTTTTATTACCCAGTTTGAAGAACATTTCAGTAATATTGTAATCGATTTTGTATGTTCCTCCGCCAGACCAACTGTTTTCTGTTGTGCTATTCGATCAGCAGTCGCACCTCGTTTGATAACATCAAGAGCAAGTGGTGGCCAGAGATTCGCCACTTCTCCAACAATGTGCCCGTGGTGCTGGTGGGCACCAAGCTGGACTTAAGGATTCCCAACTCGGAGAAGTTTGTGACCACACAGGTGAGGAATAGTCCATATCGTAATGTATCTACTAGATACTAATATCTCTGTGATGCATTTTACAGGAGGGCAAGCGACTGCGCAAGGAGATCCACGCCTCCAACCTGGTGGAATGCTCGGCGAAGAAGAAACAGAACCTGCAGCAGGTCTTCGAGGAAGCCGTCCGTGCCGTGGACCGGAAACCAAAGTCCTCGCCCAAGCCAGCGTGCACACTACTGTGAATTAAGTGTAATGCCTAATGTTTAATATTGTTATTATGCGTATTATGTAACTAATTTGTCTGACTTTTTGTGCTTGGTTTTCGCAAGGAAAAAACTGTGCGTAGGAAAATTACCATTAAGTTTTTTTATAATTTAAGTGCTAGTAGTTGTGTGCAAACGTTTTGTTTTCCAGGCGACCAAAGTGCATTTTTTATGTAAAAAGGATACAAACAAAAAACAAAAAACAATATAAAATGAATGATAATATATATACAGAAATATTAAATAATAAGGAATGGAATTTAATTGCATATATTAGATAGGCAGACCCCATTTATGCATATTGTATATTTTCAATAAAACCCTAGTCATTAAAATGATTTATTCGTGTTTAGTTATTTTAAAAAGGCCGCCTATATTCAGTCCCATAGCCAACACTGAAAAGTAATCGATATCACAAGTTGGCAGATGAAGCGTTGCCAGAGTTTGTTGGGCTGGCAGCAATGATTTAAAACTGCTGTATAATTTAACGCATTTAATTAAAAAATATTTAACAAATAAATTCACGAAAAATAAATAATAAGACTTAAGCTCTGCTTAAAATTTTACATTATTAAATAGCTTTTTGAAGTGGAAGGTGACAATCCATCCATCTGGCAGCTCTGGCGCTGGTTTCATTTAATTCCGTACGGTCACACTGCACTGGACCGAACCGATGATGTGGATTTAAAAGTTAAATAGTTTAAAATTAATAATAAATTTAGTAATATGGACATCACCCAGACCTTCAAGGCCAGTGTAATGACTGTCCGTCTGCAGCGGAAGACAGCCGGAAAGGCGACCGCCCAGGTACCAGCCGCGAACTCCAAAGCGTCATCGCTTCCAAAGGATGACTTCGCCAAGAACGCCAAGGAGGTCTGCAACAAGATCACCTCCCTGCGGAATGTGCTGATCGAGAACCGAACCGCCTACATGAAGATCGGGCAGCACCTGAAGAGCGCCACCCACATGACTGACGCCCAGCGGGACCTAATCGACCGCGAGTCGGAGAAATTCGTTTCCTTCTACACGCAGCACCTGGCCAAGATGCGCAGCGACTGGAAGGCGGCGAAGCGGAGGCCGCAAGAGCGACAGCACATCGACGCCGTGCTGGACCTACTGGTCAGCTACCTCCACAGCGTGGAACAAATATATCTGGACCAGAAGAAGTACCGGGTGCAGCACCAGCTGGAGACCTACAAACTGCTCAAGCTGGCGGCGGACAAAAAGAAGATACCAGTGCGACCGGCGGGCAACAACAGTGGCAAGCTCGGTAGGCGCCAGCAGAGTAACAATGACGACGGCAAGGACAACGGGGCGTTATCGTCGCCCATGACAAACGGCCAAGCGGAGGAGTCCGCTGACAACGACTGGAACAACGACGGCTGGGACGAATGGGACGATGATGAGGAGGAGGAAGAGGATGGCGAGCAGGACCACCACGATGGGCAGGGGAAGGAGAAGAAGTGGACTCCCGAGGTTAGCCAGCACAAACCTAGACAGCGTAAGCGTAGCAGACCCAACAGAGGGGCCATGAGCTCCGATTCATCTGCCAAGGTCGCATTGGACGAGGAACTGCAGAAGTCAGCGAATCAGCAAGAGGCCGATGACGAGGATCCCCTCAGTGCCGAGGATATGCAACTGTTCGAGGCAGAGAACGTGCACATTTACAACTTCCTGCAGGGCGTTTCCGAGGAGGTAGAGCAGATAGAAAAGAACGTTGTGGACATTGCTCAGCTGCAGGACATCTTCACCGAGAAGGTAAGCAGGTCCACATTAATATCAGCATCCCCCAACCATCAAAGTAATCCAAAGACTAGTTAAATTGTCCCAAGCTGAGGGGTTATTGTATTATTGTATTGTTCAAATTCAAATTCCGGTAAGCTTAGTTGCTATCTAGCTATCTATCTCGTCACACAAAATTCCATGATTGGAGATTCGGCTAGTTAAACCATCTTTTGGGGGGAGTAAGTAGAGAGTTATTGTTCTTGCTTTAAGTCCTGATTAGTAATTCGTAATTGAGATAGTTCAAATTTGATAAATACACCAATATATAATATATATATGTATATAATATAAGTTAATAGACCAGTTTAGAAAGTACACAATTATAGTTATTATTCCATTTAGAATCAATTTTTAAATCTATTTTTCTCGTAGGTCGCTATGCAGCAGCACAACATTGAGCGGATTGTCAGTGCCGTCGTCGGCACCACCGAGAACGTTAAGGATGCCAATGAGCAGATCCGCCAGGCCACTCAACGGAATGCAGGTCTCCGTGTGTGGTCCCTATTCTTCCTGCTGGTCATGTCGTTCTCCCTGCTCTTCCTGGACTGGTACTACGATTAAGATCGACCACCGATATTTAAAATAAATGTTTTAGAGCTACTAAGGAACCGAGGGGGCGAACATCTTTGTTATTATCGTTGGATCGCAGCACTACTAAGAGCATAAATTGTTTATTACATATAGTTTATAAATAAAGAGAAGGAAATTACGTATATTTAAACAATAAAATGTAACTTAATTGGTCTTGAGAGCTGACTGACTTTCAAGCCTTAGTGTCGTATTATTAAGGGTCTGCACCAAAGGTGTTAACAACTAAACGTTTAAGTGCTGTTTGGTACTTGTTTAATGCTAGGTTGTCTTAGTTGCTACCGAACTTCATTGTTCATTTTTTCATTTCTTGCTCCTTTTTTTTTAACAAAATAACGAACGGTAGTCATCAATTGTTTGTATAATATGTAAATATGTTTTTTTAGCCTAAAGTTAACTTGTTGCTTATTTGTTTCCATTGGTTGGTTTGTTGTTGTTGGTTTCATTGCATGAACGCGTAAATTCTATCTAGCTTATGGACTAAATACACATTTAGCCTTAAGTTCCGTTAGTCTGAGGGAGTGTACTTGTGGCTTAGTCGCTAAATTGTTAAGTGCAATATCGCATTGCATTCGATGCAGTCTGCTGGTTCCTCTCGTTCGAGAGATGCTGGGCTTGGTTGGCTCCGATGGGAAGAAGAATGAATGGAAGCTGTCTGCCATTAAAAATGACAATAGTGTAGGAAGGCGTCATCGCTCTAATTGGCAAGGTTGTTGTCGGTCGTTGATTTGCAACCAATAACGTGTTGCAGACCAAATGATAGGTCGTCGTTGGTAGCGTTTGTTATGGCGTCGGGGCTATCGTTTCAAGAGCCACGCTGGTGGCAGCACTGCTCTCCACCGAATTGGGATATTCATCTGGGCTTTGGACGTTGTAAACGCTATTGTTGCTCATGGGAGCTGTCTCCTCGATGGGTGTTGGTGGATTTTCTAGCTTGGCGCTACTAAGGATGCCGTTGTTGTTGTTGTTGTTGTTGTTATTATTGTTGGTGTTGCTGCTGTTGCTGTTGCTGACGGTCTTTACTATGGTCTCCTCGTTGAGAAACACTCCCAGTGGCAAATGGGAGTTCATGTGTGCTAAAGGAAATGTAAGAAAAAATATATTAATTCCATGTTTAAGTATAATGGATAGCTATATATATATATTGCATATTAGGTGCATGTCAGTCTAGGCCATGCATTAATAAAGTCAGTCTTATTATCAGTCAAGCCCTAGAATATATACAACATCTCCTACATATATAATATCCAGTGCTATCAACATTGTTGAATTTTATTTGTTTTTATTGTTATTTCAAATATATTTTGGAATTCTACAATTTAAAGCTTTTAAAATAAAATTCAACAAAATTATAGCCTGTAGACTTTACCGCGAAATATCTTAAAGTGAAGAAACGACCGTGGACAGAATTCACATTTGTAAAACAGCTCTTTGTGGGTACGACGATGTCTGCGCAATTCCTTGAGATATTCGAACGACCGATCGCATCCGTCGCACTGGTAACCAATCCCTGGAAAAGACAATTGGCGTTGGCCATTGTATCTGCATATTTTTGTGGAGGGAAGCGTTGTTGTTTCAGCAATTGGGAATTCACATACAGTGAACTTGAAGCCAACACAACACATACATATTTCGTTCGACAAGCGGATAAATTTGGTTAAATTTTCAGATTTCACTAAGATGTAACATTGAATGGAAGGTTTGGAAATCTAAAAGATTAAGGTCACGTAATGGGGGTAATTTCATGAAGGTACCAACAAAAAGCAATATAAAAGCAAACAAGTGTATTCCATATGATTTCCACGGAACCTGCCTTAACTTACGTAACGCACTTACTAGAATGGAATGTGAATATAAGTGCTTACTTAGGTCATGGGATTAATAACAATGTCAGGCTAATTGTTAATTACTTAAACGCCCAAGCGTACAATGTGGGGTTTTATATTTTTCCTTAATATAAAAGCGATCTATGAACCTATGGAAATCATCCAGAGCAACCTTAAAACAATATGAATCAGCTTTTAAAATATGCTCAACCCATGAGAATGAGTCCAATCGCCTGCGGTTCAATCTCCGCTCCAGAATTTCTGAATAGAACAGAAATGGTTAAACAAAAAATATAATGCCTATAGTTTGAGATCCAAATCCGATCAAATAAAAAACGAATCACTGTTAGTATAATGAACCTTTTCAAAAGCTTGAAAACTAACTGAACGTTTGCGAGCCTTTCAAGAGTTCTTTTGGCGAGGCACAGTTATCAAATTACGAAGTTCTGGCATTACAATTAATGAAAACATTGTATAAAGGGTGAAATATATGTTCTTTTGCTTCATTGGGAAAAAGACCATGTGTAGAGTCTCTACAAAGAAAACTTGAGTGGATTTTCAGTCAGAAGCTTGAAAAGCAGTGCAGGACTCATTTCCGACCCCATAAAATATATATATTCCTTATCAGCATCAAAAGCCGAATCTTTCTAGCTATGTCCGGCCAAAATTTAATTTCTTCAAAATTTTGAGAATTTTATAAGGGGTTACATCGTTAAAATTGTCAAAAATTGACAAAAAATTGAATTTTCTATAATTTTAAATTAAGTATGCAGATTTGTTAACCTTATAAAAACTAACCTAGAAATGGTTTCCGAATTAAAATTAATGCATTTTTGGCAAAGTTAAGAGTTTTTAAAGCATTGATTAGTAGAAAATATTGTCATTAAAAACATTGATAAATATTGTTAAAAAAATAATTGTACTATAATTTTAGTCAGAAGCTTGAAACGATGTGAAGGATTCATTTCCGACCCTATAAATCATATATATTCTTGATCAGAATCAACAGGAGATTCATTATAGCTGTCTCCGGCAGAAAAACAAAATTTTCAAAAATTTTAAATTTTTCAAATATTGCCAAAAAACGATCAAAATTTGAATTTCAAATGGAGTATGCAGATTTATAAAACAAAGAAAAACTAACATAGGAAAGCTTTTCGAATTGAAATAAATACTTTTTGGCAAAGTTATGAGTTTTTTAAAACTTTGATTTGTCGAAAAATTTGGCATATTAAATTAGATTATTATTATTGTTTTTGTATCACATTGGGATGGAACGACAGTTTTGTTTTTTTTCCCATTTAAACGAGCTCTGTTATATGTCAAATAAAAATCAAAATATAAGGATCTCAAATTCAAAACCGTTGACATTCAATGTTAATTATGTTTTGGTTAGCAAATAATTGTCAAGACATGCATAGTTTTAAAGCTGTGTTATTTAATGCCAAGCAATGCATGGTGGAAGCATTCGATTCAATGAGTTTTCGTCCTGTTTCAAGAGCCCCCTTGAAACAAGGACTTTTTCCGTTCAGCACTTGTGCATTACCTTTTCGGAGCACATACTGATACTTTGGCGGAATAAACTGTCAATAGCAACAATGAAACAATAATAACGACAACAGCAGGAGGGATTAGTAAGAGGCTTATTACTCGAGCTACAACAAAAACACTAGCACTAAGTATATGTGAATGGGGAGTATTATGTTGTTAGTGGAGTAAGTAGGAAGAGCTGTACGTCGGCTTGAGCCCGGAACCCTTTAGTATCAGGCCACCGCATTCATTCTTATGTGCGTGCACCGTGAGCATCTTGCCCCAAAACTTACCACCATGGAATTTAACGTGCGTCTTCAATGCACTCTCCGTACCGAATTGCTTGCCGCACTCGTCACAGGTGTGCGGCTTGGATAGCAGGTGCACAGTAATCTTGTGCAGCGTCAGTTGCGAGGGGCGCGGAAATCGTACGTGGCAAATGTTGCACTCGTACGGCCTGCCCTCCACATCGTGGGATTCCATGTGCCGATGCAGAGCAGTTCGCATGCGATAGCCTCGCTTGCAAATGGTGCACACGAATGGCATCGTGGTCTGGGATCCGTGGGCCAGTTGGTGATGCTTCTTGAGGGCAATCTCATTGGTGAAACGCTCTTCGCAGTATAGACATTGATTGTTTGTCCGCAGCTCGTTCACCGGCACGCAGGACAGCGGGGCGGGCGACTGAGGTGGGGCCGGCGAAGCGGGTGTAGCCGGTGACGCTGGTGGTACATGGTCAAAGGTGGAGGAGGAAGGAGAAGATGACGGCGAGGGCGATGCCACAGGCGTGGCCAAATGCAGCGGACCTTGGGGTCCCACAATGACGCCTCGTTTACGGTATTGCCGTAACGTGGTCGTGGAATCTGGCTCGGATTGTTCTGGCGAGGGCAGCGTTATATGCTGCGAGACCATCATGGGCTGAGGCGATGGAGCCGAAACGATCGTCGAGGGCGGAGTGAGCACCGTTGGAGGAGATTGCAGTGACTGTTCCTCGAATCCTACACTGCTGGTATGACTGTGACCTGTTGTGCCTGAAATTGAAAGATAATGTTAATTTGGTACCATCTGCGGATGTCAATAAGTCGCTTAGCTACGCTTCAAAGTGGAAGCGTTAACCAAGCTTATTGGGATTTCATTAAACTCACAATCCTCGCAGTCGGGACAGCAAAGAATCTTTCGCGGAATCGTTGTGCTAGCCTGGACATCCATAGCTGCTGGGGCAAAGATTTCGTTTTAAAATTTAATCTTTGAGGTGAAAGCATAACCAAGCTCACTTGACGGATGCGGCGAATGTGATGGCTGCATTACTGGCAGCTTCTGCTGCGGCTGCTCTTGTTGCGGACGATGATGCGGGGTTCGTTGTGGTTGCCGTTGCTGTCGCGGTTGATATGGTCTTGGTTGATATGGAAGTTGCGGTCGTCGTTCCTGTCGTTCGTTTGTGATCTGCAGCTGAACATCCTCCACTCGGACGCTGCCAACTGTCTTTAGAGGCATGTGGAAGCGCTGAATGTGCAGGTCCAAGGCCTTTTGAGCGGGAAACACCTGCGAACACTGGCCGCACTGGTACTGCTGCACCACATGGTTGCTGAGAATGTGCTGCGACCGCTTACTCCTGCCGGCAAAGGCAAGTGGGCAATGCGGACAGTTGAAGGGCGCTATGGCGGGATGGAGTTCAATGATATGACGGCTGTACTCCAGGCTATTGGAGAACCTTGGACCGTTCTGGCAGAAGCGACACTTGAGGGTTAATGGCCGACCAGACGGCGTTGTGGCTGGTATGGGATGTACTTTGGTTGAAATTGATGTTGCTCCAGGCATTCCTATTACCGGATGACTGTGCACAGGTAGGTGATGCTGCCGATGTTGCTGATGTTGCTGTTGTTGCTGTTGTTGCTGATGCTGCTGTTGGCGGTGCTGCAACCGTTTGGTGTACTGCAGGCGATGGAGATCGTTGCTGATGGGAGCACCGTATCGGTGGAGTGGTGCTTGTTGCGGATTGCTGGCCGACGCCACCGGCTGCTGCATCTCCGGCTGTATCACAATCATGATCGGTTGCTGTTGCTGCTGCTCATGTTGTTCCTGTTGCTGTTGCTGCTGCTGATGATGGTGCTGTTGTTGGCTCTGCTGATGAGTCACCTGCTCCAGCATATAGTTCTCATTGGATTCCACGGAGGCCGGCTGCAGCATGGTATAAGTCTCCGTTGTCTGCTGCGGATACAGGTCACTGGCACTAATGTAGTAAGTGGTCTCGATGGGTGAATTCTTGATGGACTCCAGTCCACCCACCGATGACCACTGCACCTGCTGCTGGTGTTGCTGGTGCTGTGGCTGCCATTGCCTAGTTTCCCCAGCACACGAGGGCAGAGAGATGAGCTGCACCTTATTGGAGGACTGCTGAACCGTTTGCTGGACGATGTGCTGCTGATAGATCTGCTCGTAGGTTACTGTCGTCGTTGTGTCCCGCGACTGGACATGTGGGACAACTTGCGAGGACTGTAGTTGCAGCTGGGAGTAGCCGTGGGGCTGGATCTGCTGCATCATCTGTACTGTTGGTTGCGCTTGGTTTTGGATTCGAGGCTGTGGCTGCAGCATTTGGTGCGTGTTTGATGACTGAGATGGATTGTGCAATTGAATTTGATTTTCAACCGCCACGATCTGATGTTCAATATGCGCGTGGTTCTGTGGATGCTCCTCCGGAGCCTGAACCGTCAGGATTTCGTGCTGCATTTGTGATTCGGCTTGGGGTTGAATTTGTATCTCATGCTGTTCTGTGGGATCTCTTTGAGATAAAGTTTCTGACGCATTCGGGGATTGCACTTGAGCCTCAGCTTGTACATCAGTCTGTATCTCCACCGGTGCCTCCACGGTGGGTTTCTCCTCCTGTGAGGGTTGGAGATCACTCAGGAATTGTGTCAACTCTAAATGCAAACTCTGTTGTCCCGATTCCGGAGATGAATCAATATTCTCAAAGCAAGGAATATCGTTCTGGAAACCTATCAGTTCATTGCTAAAGTTGCTGTTGTCAAAGAGATCTTCGCTGGCTGCGGGTTGTTTCGTTTCCGGTTCGGTTACTGGACTCTCCTCGAAGGGATTGGGCGGCGACGAAACCGAGGGCTCCTGTTCAGTCAACGGAGCATAATCGGCGGGCGTAAGAAACTCATCGATGTGTGCACAGTTCGGTGTATACATGTGCTGGTCCTGCATCTCGTTAAGGATGCCATTCAGCGTGGTCTCCACATCATTCATCTCTACCTCCAGCTGTTGCTTTGCCTCCAAATCGTTAAGGGGCAGTGGCAGCTCCGAAGGCGTAGGCGAAGGAGCCGGCGTGGTTGCCTTCAGCTGCTCGATACCATTCTCACAGTGCTTAGCAAACTCGGCCATAAAATCCATGGGCGTGGGTCCAGACCTCACCACTGGCATCTCCTCATCAGTATCCGATTCTTCTGGCGGGGATTCTTCCGCACTTGGGGTTTCTTCTGCGATTGGATCCATGGCACCACCTCCACCTTCTGGTTTTGCTTCAATTTCATTGGTTCGGAGTGCCACAGTAGAATTGAAGCTATCTGCTGTAGCACTCTGGCAAAAATTTTCATCATTAGCATTGTTGTTTACATCGTCGGGCTGGACGGACTGAAGCTCCTTGGAGGTCGAGGTGGTGCGGTCCTGCGACTTCTTCTCGATATCCTGATCCACGACTAGGCGACGCTGCAGATTCTCATCGAGCACCTCGAGGGGTATGCTCACAATGATTTCGGGCTGGTCAACAGATTCCTGTTGGTCCTCACTGGTCTCCGTGGATGAGGTCAGCTCCTCCGACTGCAGGGGATCGTTCGGAGACTGTAAATCATCGATTAAACTGGTGTCTTTGTCATCACTAGTTTCTTCCATTTTTTCCGGTGAACCCTTTGAGAATGATTCGTCCGTTTTGTTAACTATTTCTGTGTCTTTTTGGTCAGCGGCCTGTTCGCTTATATTATTGGTGACTTCTTTTGCTTCCGCTGGCTCTTCTTTGCCTTCATCGGAAGTGGCTTTCTCCGGGCCATTTGAGACTTCCTTTGAATTGACTGATTCCACCGTCAAGGAGCCTTCCTGGGTACGACTTTCTGTCAAACCATTTGACGTGTTCGTCGACTCCTTCTCCGAGGCGACCTCAACTCCACTATGATTTGAATTGACTTCATTTAGCTCCAGTTGCTCACTCGTCTCTTTTGGTATGTCTGAAGTGCTGTCAATGGCCTCGTCGCAGTTTTCTGCCTTTGACTGTGGCTGGCAAACTTCCATTTGATCAGACTTTGTGTTCTCTTCGGCCACTGCTTGAACCTGCAGCTCCACTTGCAGCTCCTTCTTGACGAACGATCGCCTTTGCCTCTTGGTTGGGTTATAGACTGGGAAATTTCTTACGCGCCTTCCACGCCTGGGTGTACTCTGATAACCCGCCAAACGTTTGGGAAACTTCAATCCATTGGTGACCGTGGATTGGGTGGATGTGGAGGAGGGACTACTGTCGCTCTCAAAGCCACAACAGGGACCCACGGACATATCGCTCATCCGCTCCGTGCTGCTGCAACTCTTTGATTCCTGATCAGAGTTAGGAGTTGGCGATGTAATTTCGGTGGTTATACTGGACGATGTCCATGTCTCGGAGATCTGTTTGCGGGCGGCCTTCGTCTTCCAGGGCATACTGCTGGCATCGATGGCACTGCGATGCTCCATCTCACAGCCGATGGAAAGGGCGCGATATTTACGCAGACGTAGCTGGAGGCGACGAGCCTTCGGAGGTGGAAGATTCTGTGATTCTGTGCGAATCTCTGCAGGAGTTTCCGCAGCAGCAGCAGCGGTGGCGGCGGCAACTGCTTCTCTGTCCGATTCGGATACCATACGACGTTTCCTTTCCGGTTGAGGTGCTGGCTGAGCCTCCTTCTTGGGTTCTTCCAGCTTTTGTGCTTGTTTTTGCTGTCGCTTGGCTTGCCTGGCCGCCTGGCGATCGGATATATCCTGGGCAAAGTCCTGCAAACGCTGTTGCATTCGTACGCATTTCCGCCGAAACTTGGCCACCATCAGAAATTGAGCCATACACTGGCGGCAGATCTCTTGTGGAAGGCCATCGTCGCGATTTATCTGGAAAATGCAAATAAAATGTAAATTAATAAATATATCGCAAGAGAAATTACGTAATATTAGCGTATAAAAGGTTATTCTGAAAGGTTATAGATACACTTTCTTTAAAATGCTTTCTAATTTGTTATTATATCGAAAATATATTAAAATATCACAGGTATTTCTGTGGAAGCCCAAGAGTTATGCTTTTGTTTGTTTTATTTAATCCTCTGCTATTTATGGAACCATTACCCAGAAAAACAACATCATCGAATTTATAGTGTATGTGACATTAGATATTCGAAAACGTTGCGACCAGATATGCATGCAAATTTGCTGCTAAAAATATTGGCCTTTCAATTTTTGGACACCTGAAAGGTGAATTGGCTAATAAAATTTAAAAATACAATCAATGCTGTCAATTTCTGCGCTCGAACCGATTTCCTGTGTAGATCTTTACTTTCCTTTGCTCGTGGCTGACCAAATTATGAATTAATTAATTGACATTGAAAATAATATAAAAAAAAAAAAACATGGGTGAGGCAAAAACCGCCACTCGCTTTGAATGGAAAGCCAAAGCCAAAGCCACCCGAGTTATTAATGAGCAATGGTTCGGTTCGGTTCGGTTTTGTTTTGTTTATGGTTTATGGGCAGCTGGTGGTCGCTGGGTCGAAAGCTCCAATCTCCAATCTTCAATCTGCACAGGTGGTAGTGGTGGTACTAGTGGTACTGGTGGGGCACTCGCTGCCGATCGAAGCAATTCGAGTGGCAAACGCCACGAGCACCTTCGTTTTCTATTGGGATTTGGAGCAAATAATTTGCCTTTTGTTTTCCAATTGAGCGGTTTCATTAAAGAGGCAAGACCGGCAGGCAGGCAGGCAGACAGACAGACAGACAGACCAGTAAATTACAATGCCAACATGGGGGCAACCTACTGATGAATAAAATCAAAAAATATTTCTATAGAAAAGACAAATTCAATTAAGGTGGAATCAAGAAAATAATACCGCTACAATATGTTGCACAATTCAAGATCAAAAATACATCAGTTTTATGCCAAGATGAAGAATTTTCGGACCAGTTTTTAACAACAAGTCTTATATCCGTTTTAAAAGCTGTTTAAATAACAAATGACCTGATCTTAAGTGATTTTTATCTCGGTTTTACCAGCTCAACAGGAAATGAGAAAATAAACGCAATATGTCCATCAAGTGTCTGACCTTTTTTTTTCTTCATAAATAATCCATTAAAAAAAAGCCCAATTACTTTCTACAAAATATAGAAATAAGATAGAGGGCAAAAAATCGATTAACAAGTTCAAGATCTTTCGAAAAGCATAAGCAAAAAGGTCAGCCACATTAGGTGAAAGGAAAGCGAATGAAAAATAAAGTAAGCCAAAGGCTTATAACCCAATATACATAGATATAACAAAACAAAATTAAAAGCAATCATTAAACAAAATATAAAAGAAAGAAACAAAACTGTAAACACAAAAAATGTCAGAGACAACGTGATTTGGTTCAAGATTCGCTTAGCTTATGGTAATGCCCATACAGTTCAGAAAATGACATAAAAACCCGTACCCGTACCCGTAACCCGTCCAAGAGACCGGCGGAAATTTATGCAGCTCTCAACGAAAAGAGAGACGGAAATTTGAACAATTTCGAATGCTAAAGCCGCCGACAATGCATAACCGATGCCAGCAGAGAAGCTGAGAGTTTGCCCAGAGAGACCAGCAAAAAACGAGATTCAGAAAAACCAAAAACCAAAAAACCTCAACACAAACTACAGAAAAATGAGAAGAAATAAAAAAATTCAGCATAAAATCAACTGACAGTCACAACGGACCTCCGTCAAGTGTAAATGACAATTGAAGTAAATGTGGTGTCCCGGTCCCGTCCGGTTCTGTCTTCAGAGATGTGACCAAACGGTCGCATTGTATATGTATATAAAATATATATAAAATATATATATATATATTCATATATATATTCATTCGGCACTGGAGCGCATGAAAATAGATGCAAATGGGTTGAATACACTAAAAATAAATAAATAAATAAATAAACTTGCATCTAATAGAGACGAGAATAGGATGGAATATAGAATAAGAGCAGAGCGCACCTCACCTCGATGAACAAGACGGAAAAACTTTCCAGTTCATAAAGGAATAAATAACAGGGAGAAAGGAAAACATTTAAGAGATTTAAAATTCATTTAGCAGAAAGATTTAAATATCACGACTTTAAAAATGGTTGACAATAAAGTAAATAATAATCACACCTTACGGCTTGATGACAAAATCTTAAAGATATTAACTGCCAGATGCTAACCAATTTGGAATCAGAAAAATACACTTCAGTTACTTTAAGCGGTGATTATCACCAAATTAAGACATCAAAAAACCCTCAAATTGTTGACCAAAAGCAAGGAATTAAAGGAAAAACCTATGCAGAGGCTTGTTAACCTTTAATAATAATAGGTAATACGGAATTCAGGTATTTACAGGCAGGTGCTAAACGATTTTTGATGTCTATATACACCTGAAATACTTTAAGACATGAAGAACTCGAAAATGGCCGATGGTAAAGTAAACATTTAAGTAATAAAAGCTAAAGAGCTAACTTTCAGATATTTAATTCAGTCAGCTATTTGTTATACAATTTTTTAACAATATTTACAAGCATTACAAAGAAATTACCATAACCAATAAGCCCATTAAAAAAAAATCTAGAAAGGAAACTAACTTCAGGAAACCAATTTTTATATACATATTCGCTATTTTTATGTGACAATTTTTGCGAAAAAATTAAAATTTAAAAACTTATAAGTCAGCCAAAAGTCGATTAATTTCGATTCGGAAAACGTTGATATGCTAGTTTTTAAAAGGTTAATAAAACTGCATTCTCAATTTAAAATTAAAAATTTCATCAATTTTTGACAATTTTAATGATATAACCCCTTTTAAAATTTTGAATTTTGGGAAAAATTTGAAAAATGTATTTTTTGAGCGAACATGGCTAGATCGACTCGGCTGTTGATGCTGATCAAGAATATATATAATTAATAAGGTCGGAAATTACTTCTTCACTGCTTTTTAACCTTCTTTTGTTTTGTTTTACTAAAAGGTATAATAAGGAAACAATCAAAATAAGCATAGCTAAGTTAAAACCTCTCAAAAAACAGGCTTGTCAAATTTTTTAAGATGTGTAATAAATTTTGTTGCTTTGACATATCTTTGTGTAATTGATGAATAACCATAAAACATTATAATTAGCGTCATATCACATTTACACGAATGGATGGAACGCAACACATTTCAATTAGCCGAATAGGCTAAGAGCCACACAAAAAATATTATAAACAACTTGAAGAAAAATACAAATAAAAAATAAAGAAACGTATACAAAGTGCCGTCGGCAGTTGGAAGTAAGTTTTTTTTTTTTTTTTGTTGTCGCAGTTGAATGACAAACGCAATAAAACGAACATGACACAAATAATAATAAATGCAATATAATGGCTTATTTAATTGTTTGTGCGAATCTCTGATGAAATAATCGAGGGAGAAAGCAATACCTTAAGGAGGGTGATCATCCCATTGGGTGGAGCTCAATAAATAACAATCAAAGTCAGGCATTAGCGAATATTTTAAGTAACAGTAAATGCTTATGCGAAATAAATTGTGAAATTTCAGCAAAAGCGACGCCCATTGACTGGCAATTTTTCGCGACAACAGTCCGTACTAGTAATTGTATTGTTGATATAATAAAAAATTAATCAGCTTGAGTTGACACAAAGTCAAAGGGCAAGATAAACGCTGCAGGCACACTCATAAAATTCTAACTAGCTTAGCTTAGAGTGCGCGCTCTGTGTTCTTATTTGTCTTACGAAATTGCTGCAATCTAAAATGGACAAATAACCCAGAAAGCCAACACAATTGAAAGATTAGTTTCGAGATAATCACAATTATCCCACAGAGTCAGAGCCGGAGCAATAATCATTCCAATCCATTGCAAACCAATGCCCCGAGGTTCGATTTGTCGTGGCCTTTGGTCGCCGCTGACTGGGCCGTGTTGTTAACTTTATATTCGTTTCCCTCTCACCCTTGTCTTGGTTTCGTATTTTATTTTTTTATTTTTTATTTTTGGCTTTGGCCACAAGACAAGTCACAATCGCAGGAACTTGCTGGCCCTTTCTCTTCCTAGTTTCACTCGGCTTAAAACAAAAGCAAATGGTGGAAAGCAAACATCAAACACGCCACCAAAAGAAATTGCCTTAATTCGCACTCAATGTGCAAGCGAAAGAAAAAAAATATATATATATATATATACAGAAAATACAAGCAAACTGGCAAAATAAATTATAAATTAAAACAAACAGCAGGAAAAATCATTAAATGAAAATAAAGCATGAGTTGCGTAACGAATCCGCAAATACCCTTGCAATCAATCCGCTCGCTGTTATGGATATAATTTCTTTCCAAGAAATACTTTATATTCTCCGATTCCGATTCCAATTTAAGCAAAAAGATATCTCACGGGGCATCAAGTGTCAAAGCCATTAAAGTGATTCTAGGGGATTTGTAAATAGGTTCTCCCCCTCCTCCGTTTCTGTTACATGATATAGAACCAGTAGTGGTGGCAAATTAATTGCACTTTTGTGTCTGTAGATCTCAGATCTGTTAAAGTTACGATGATTACTTTTGCTTTAAATCCCTTAAATCCCTCAATAAACTCCGGATTTATGCTTAATACGGTTCAGCAGCTCCCGGCATTGGATGACAACAGCAAAAGCACAAAAAAAAATAAAATAAAATCCGTATTATCTGCTGAAAGTGTAGCACATATGGCGCCATCGAAAAAGAAATGCAAAAAAGCATTTCGATATGGTTTGCAACATCCGGATTGCTGCAATGCTGGATAGGAGCAGTGGCCTCCCCACAGCAGCAAAAAAAATAATATTTAATAACTGTAAACTGTGCTGCAAGAAAAGCCAGAGCCATAAATAAACGGGGGATAGCC